GTGGGGCAAGGCTTCCTTGTGCGACCGCAGTCCTTGCGACCGCACAGGGAAGCCTTGCCCCACCGCGGACCGCATAGTTCCCTCCGCCGTCGCGAAACCCCCACCGTGGCCGCAAGAAACCACTGCGGACCGCACAGCTGGGTTCAGAGACCTGCAACTTCTCTGAACCTGCAACAGCTATGCTCTAAGTCAAAAACATCCCGGAACCTATCCGAAACTCACCCGAGCTCTCGAGGCTCCAAACCAGCACATGCAAACCAACCTAAAAATATCATACGGACTTGCTTGTGCAATCAAATCATGAAAATAACATGTAAAACCATGAATTAAACCTCAAAACTCATCATTTTCATCAAGAACACTTAAAGTTCATAACTCTTCAACCGGAAGTCCAAATCACGTCAAATAAGCTCCATTTTCCACCAAATTTCACAGTTATCATTTAAATACTATAAATTTTTTATACCGGGCTCCGGAATCAAAATACGGGCCCGATACCAATGGTTTCAAATATTAATTCTTTTCTTTATTTCTTAGATAATTCAGTAAAACAATTTCTTTTAAAAATTGATTTCTAAGGCTTGGGACCCCGGAATTCATTTTCGGGCATACGTCCAAGTCCCATATTTTACTCTCCCGGGATCGTCGAAACACGGATCCGGGTCCGTTTACTCAAAATGTTGACCAAAGTCAACCATAATCAAATTTTAACTCTACAAAATTTCTATTTCTCATATTTTCACATAAAAGGCTTTCCGGATATAGGTCTGGACCACGCATACAAATCGAGGTGAGGTAAAAAGGAGGTTTTTTAGGCCTCAGAATACTGAATTTGCTTGCAGCACAAGTGATGACCTTTTGAGTCAATACAATTTTAAAATATTAGTCAAAGTTCACATAGTTTGACTCTCGAGAAGCAAGACATGACAACTGAATTTGGGACGGAGTAAGTACATTCTTAAACGTCCTGCTCTGTCAAACTAAGACACATAAAATAAAATGGGGAGTACATTCTTAAACGTCCTGCTCTGTCAAACTAAGACACATAAAATAAAATGGGGAGTACATTCTTAAACGTTGTGCTCTTTCAAACTAAGACACATAAAATAAAACAGAGAGAGTGCATCTTTTCTTCTTCTTCGCGTACTCTAAGTATTAACTCGTTTTATTATTATTATTTTTTAGTTTGTTAAATATGATTAAGAGTAATTAGTGATATTTTTTTGCAGCTTAGAGTATCTGGAATTATAAGCAATTCTCCTTACATACTAATATTGGATTGTGATATGCACTCAAATGATCCATCTTCAGCTCGACAAGCAATGTGTTTCCACCTTGATCCCAAAATCTCTCCTTCACTTGCATTTGTTCAATTTCCTCAAAGATTTCACAATGTCAGCAAGAATGATATTTATGATTCTGCCTTGAGAGCAATTTTTGTGGTAAGCTTTTTATATCCATATGTTTATTTTCTTTTTTATAACCGTGATGTCCAAGCCGGTTCATACATACTCGACTAATTCAACGAGATATCTGTTTCCATATGTCTTATATAGACAGGTAAAACAGGTAAATACTTGCTCATATTGGGTGTTCGTATCAAATCATACAAATTTATTATAGTTAAATGATCAATTAAGGCGAGAATGTATATTAAAAAGGGTAGCCCGATGCACTAAGATCCTGATATGCGCGGTGTTCGGGGAAGGGCCGAACCACAGGGATCTATTGTATGCAGCCTTATCCTGCATTTTTGCAAGAGGCTGTTTTCACGGCTCAAACCCCTGACTTCTTGGTCACATGACAACAATTTTAACAGTTACGCCAAGACTCCCTTTAAAGCGAGAATGTGTATTAATTAATTACAATTTATTAATAATTATATTTGTGAAAGCGTATATCATGTATTTATTGAATTGATACAAATATTCGATACGAGTAAATTCTTACCGGCAAACACTTGTTTATAACTAAGGTTTTGATGTTATTAGGTCAAGTGGCCAGGGATGGATGGGCTTATAGGACCTATGTTGTCTGGTACATGCTTCTATATGAAGAGGAAGGCTCTATATGGGACTGGTATACACAAAGGTATATTACTCAACTATTAAAACGTTTGTAATGCTTATTTATAAAATCAGTTTCACCACTTAATTAAAAATAAATTTTAGTACTTAAAGAAATTTAAAATTAGCCTGATTTACAACTACTAATTGAAAATTAGCTACTATTTTAAAATTAATCGAAATTTAGCCACTTTTCATACGATAATAAAATTTGGACAAAAATACCATAAGTTAAAATCCAAAAAAATTCCAACATATTATGTTGGAATTCAGACTTTTTACATATGGAATTCCAACATAATGTGTTGGAATTCAAAATACCCTGTATGTGAATTACAACATAATACGTTAGGATTTTAAACTTTTACAAGTTAAACTCCAGTATAATATGTTGGAATTCGCTTAGAAGGTATCTTTGAGGTTTGAACTCCGGTACAATGTGCTAGAGCTTTACATCCAAGACTTTCAAAATTCAGCATATTATGCTAGATTTTTTTCGTGTTTGCTAAGGGTATTTTTGTCAAGATTTTATCTCCGCATAAAATAGTGGATAATTTTCAATTACCAGTCTGAAACTGGCTAGCCCGTGCTATTTTGACACTATTTACAATCAATTAATCCAAACGGGCTCTAATTCTTGGCCATTTGTCCCTTAAAAAGAATTTCTCCAATATACATGGATATTCACTAATCACATTTCTTGAACTTTTTTATCAGACATGGATATTAGTGGGCTGAAGAAGTGTTTTGGTTCCTCAAATGAGTTCCTAAATAATCTTACAAGCACTAATCACAAGCAAAATGGCAGTGGCATCAAAGAATTTGCTGACAATAAAATTCAAGAAGCAAAAGTTTTAGCCTCTTGCACCTATGAGCAGGATTCACAATGGGGAAACCAGGCAAGTTAATAATCACATTAATGCTAAAAACCAATTATATGCAATTTAGAAGTGGCAAATATGTAGACTGGTTCAACTTGGGCGGGTCAAAATTGATTAAGTCGATAAATAAATTGTGATTCAACTCGTTCAAAGTTTGCTTGGGTCAAAATGGTTGAAACAATGAGTCATAAGCCAATCTGTTCAATTTAACCCAATCTCTCTTGCTTTTTTGTTTTCTTCTTGAAAAAAGAATGTGAAAGCTAATGTATTTTTCTTAAATTATTAGTTTAAGTTCTTCATAATTCAATCTTCCAAGTTTGCTTTTTATTTTGGGTTTGAGTTGCATTTTGACATATTGGGTTCCACTATTTTGACCCATTTGACCTAATAATATGATGTGTCATTTTGAGTTCAACCCATTGGGTCAAGTCAACAAACTGGTTATGATCCAATATGTTTAAACTTGGACAGGTTAAGTGAATTACTTAAAAAAAAAATAGACTGATTTTCATTGGGATCTTTATATAAATAGCCGTCCGGGTTCAGTGTTTACTTTTCAAGCCGATATACATAGATTATACAATGATTATGCAAATACAATATATAGATTATACATAGATTATATATTCGCCGCCTACTTTTAGTTTAAGCGGTTGAGTGAGCCGGCTATTTAGATTAATTCTTCATTTTAACTTTGCCCCATCTAGTATAACCTAATTCTTTGAGCTATCATATTTGTGCTAACATTGAATATTGGCTTCATTATATAGATAGGATTCTTGTACCATTCAGTGGTGGAAGACTACTTCACAGGTTTTATTTTGCATTGCAAAGGCTGGAAGTCTGTCTTTTATAACCCTACAAGGCCAGCATTTTTAGGCAGTGCAACAACAAATTTGAATGACACATTAATTCAAGGCACAAGATGGAATTCTGGACTAATTGAAGTTTTATTCTCAAGATTTTGCCCCCTAATTTATGGCTTGATCTCAAGAATGCCTCTTCTTGAATGCATGTGTTATGCTTACCTTGCATCTCAGCCTCTCTATTGCTTCCCAGCTTGGTTTTTAGCTATCATTCCTCAGCTTTGTCTCCTAAATGGCATTCCCATTTACCCTAAGGTAAAATACAATGCTCCCACTATTTCATTTTATATGGCATTCTTTATTTTTCGAATCATTACGCAAAAAGTCGGTTGGATTCGATGTTTGCTTTTTCTTGCCGATATACATAGATTATACATTAATTCTACACAATTATATATGTTATACCTGGATTATACATATATTATATATCATTTGGTTATTTTAGTTTAAGCAGTCGGGTGATCGGCTATTTAAGTTAATGCTTCTTCATTTGTTAGTGTTGTTTAAAAGGAATTACATTTTTCTATATTGAGCACTCTATAACTGTAAACGTTCCATTTTGGCTACCATGCTTTTATAGCCCATATTAATGTTGTGACATAAAGGGGAGTCTTGGTGTAACTGGTAAAGTCGCTGTCATGTGACGAAGAGGTTACAGGTTCGAGCCGTGAAAACAGCTTCTTGCAGAAATGCAGGGTAAGGCTGCGAGCGTACAATAGACCCTTATGGTTCGGCCCTTTCCCGGACCCCGCGCATAGCGAGAGTTTCAGTCAAACACCGCCATATCAAATGAAACGAAGGAAATATAAACTTTAATTGCTCAAGACTTAAACTCTTAAAGATAGACTTTGACTGAAACTATATCAATTTTCACAGGTCTCAAGTCCATGGTTTATGGTATATTCTTTTCTTTTCTTGTCAACACTTGGAAAATACTTATGGGAAGTTGTCCAAACTGGAGGAACAATGAGAACATGGTGGAATGAATGGAGGGTATGGATGATAAAGTCAATAACAGCTTATTTCTATGGAAGTTTAGATGCAATCTTGAAACTATTTGGCTTTAGAAAAGCAAGTTTCTTACCAACAAATAAAGTTGTTGATAATGACCAATTGAAGAGATATCAAAAGGGAATTTATGATTTTCAAGCATCTAAAATGTTAATTGTCCCTTTGGTTACATTAGTCACATTGAATATGGTCTCATTTGTTTTGGGAAGTGCAAAAGTGATATTTGAAGGCAGATTGAGTGATTTGTTTGGCCAAGTTTTCCTATCATTTTTCATTTTGGTAGTGAATTATCCTATAATTGAAGGGATGATATTTAGGAAAGACAAAGGAAGTATTCCATGTTCAGTGACTTTATTGTCTATTTTGTTTTGTATTTTACTCTTGTTTATTGGATCTATTTTTGTAATGTAACTTAATAGGATGAAGCTGATGTATCATGATATATTTAGCTTAAAATAGGGACTAAGATTATTTTGATCTCCATTTTCCCTTTTTGTCTTATGTTCTTGGAAATATTACTGCTTATTTTTACTAGATTATACACTATGGGGTCGTTTGGTTGGAAAGAATTTATTCCGGAATTAGTTATTTCAGTTTTACATGGGGATAAAAAATATTACAATTTCGGGATAACTAGTCTTAGGATTAATTATACCGCAATTTTCTACCAACCAAATATGAGATAAACTCTTCTTAAATTTAGTCCTAGGATTAATTATTCCTTATCCCTCTGTCACGACCCAAACCGATGGGCTGCGACGGATGCCCGAGTCTTACCTGTCAAACACCCCTAAGCATGCGTCTAAGATATAAACCTGAATAATATCTGCTAAATTACAAGAATGATATACATGAAGGAAATCTGCCCAAAAAGGCATACATACATATACGTGCAACATACGTAGGGCGAGCCGACAAGGCTACTATAGACAACTATATACCTCAAAACTGGAAGCCGGCAAGGCCACATACAACCCAACTAGACATACTGTCTACAGACCTCTAATAGAAATATAACTGTACAAAGACGGGACTGAGCCACGCCATACCCATATATATATATATACACACACAAAAACATATCGTACCAAAATCAAAAGCAACTCCGGATCAAGTGGAGCACGCCAACTCTCGCTGATCAAGGATCCTAAGAAGAGGGACCATTGTTGCGACCAAAAACACTTACGCAAGTGCACGTGATCGTCAAGTAATAGAGTAGTGAGTAGAGTATCGTTCCCACGAAGACTTATGATTAACTATTGACTAATTCAAACTCAATTAATTTGTCTATCCAAGAGGTTTTTCACAAAATAGAGATGTAATTATTTTACTACCTAAACTACCAAGCAATAATCTAACTAGAGCAATTAACCAAACAAATAACAATTTCGAGTAATAAACAGTAGGAGAGGATATTCCAGGGTCACAGGCTAGTTAACAATCGTGTTATGTTCTTAGTTAAAATGACTAATCGATTTACCTGGATTGTTAATTGACAGGGTTAATATTACTCATAAGAATATGTCGAGTTCTTACTCGCCTATTCAAGTTAACTCANATTTACCTGGATTGTTGATTGACAGGGTTAATGTTACTCATAAGAATCTGTCGAGTTCTTACTCGCCTATTCAAGTTAACTCAATGCCTATATATGTATGGAATTAAGATTAACAAGAATGCATTTACAATTCCTGTATTTCAACCAAGCAAGGCAATTGAGTATATGTCTATCCCAATTGCTAATCCGTTCCCCGAGGCCCGGGTTCAAGAACTTGCGCTATTTAATTCTATATGCAAAGTTCCCACTTTCANGAAAATTGAATTCAATCCACACATTCGCATCATATGCTCACATATATCAAAGAAATCACTCACCTTCACAAAAGAAGTCACATGTATGCAATTGGTACCATAAGCTTGCCCTCAATATAAATCTCTACTAATGTAGGCCTGCTCGACCCAAAATCAATTAGGACTTTTTCCTGGTTGTAATGTGGGCTAAGGGATGGGTAGGATATATTTCGGAATATGGACTAACCCTCCTAAGCACTTTAACACATCACATGAGCAACTTTAGCGCAAATTCTTCAACCCACTTAACTTCCATAAACAATATCACCCTACAAATACTCCCTTCTTCTTTAAGCACTATATTAATTCATACCCATTAGCTGGAACAAGACACAATGTATTCCTCTTTTTTTTTTCCAGTTTATTCTTCTTTTCTCTCAATTTTCGCTAGTGGTGTATTAGTTTACAAAACAAGTGCACTTTTCTTCCTTTTATTGGTTCCACTCAAAAGCCACCCCACACTTAGTTCCTTCTTACTTCTTTTAACGCTTATATCACAATTAAAGTGCTTTAAGAGGTAAAATGATCAAAATAATGTCAATTAAGAACAAAAAGGGTATATGCTCGTAATGCGGGTGCCAAACAAAAGTCCATAGGCTCAAAAGGGTTAACTAGGGACAAATTTTATTTGTGACAAGCAATTAAGCTCAAAAAGATCAAAGAAAGCCTAAAATCATTTTTCAAACTGAGCATCACCTAAAATTCCGCTTCAACTCACATACCGGGCAAGTTCTAGACACAAGTACAATACATGGACTACACAAAAACCTCACCACACATGGCATAAGACTCATTCCAGATTAGCTCATCAAGACGCTCCATTATGAGCATTCAATTCAACAACAAACATATAAATTAAGGCACTTTAGTGAGATTCAAAAAATAAGACTAAGCGTTAGACTCTAGGGTCTATTGTGTTCAGGCGTGTCAACGCTATGGGTTATCTTTTGATTCTCTAGCTCGTAGCCCATTAACCTAATCTACAAAATAAAAAGAAAACTACCTATACCCGGTTCAAGTTAAACCCTTGGAAAAGAACCATGGCCTAAAGAAAAACCAAGGGGGAATTGCTACACTATCTAAGAAAAAAAAATAAAAAAAAATCTTTTTGGTGTTTTCTCTAGACTAACTTCCCTCAAAAAAATTGTCTACAGGATCCGTCATCAGGAGGAGTCTACATATTTTCCCCTGTCAAACATATACCCGAGTCCTACCTGTCAAACACCCCTAAGCATGCGTCTAAGATATAAACCTGAATAACATCTGCTAAATTACGAGAATAATATACATGAAGGAAATCTGCCCAAAAAGGCATACATACATATACGTGCAACATATGTAGGGCGAGCCGACAAGACTGCTATAGACAACTATATACCTCAAACTAGAAGCCGGCAAAGCCACATACAACCCAACTAGACATATTGTCTACAGACCTCTAATAGAAATATAACTGTACAAAGACGGGACTGAGCCATGCCATACCCATATATATATACATACACACACACACACACACACAAACATATCGTACCAAAATTAAAAGCAACAGTGGAGCACGCCAACTCTCGCTGATCAAGGATCCTAAGAAGAGGGACCGTCAACTTGCCTACCTGCACCTGCGGGTATGAAATGCAGCCCCCGTGAAATAGGAAGTTAGTACGAAAAATGTACTGAGTATGTAAGGTATGAAAATCAGTACGTAAAAGACATAGATGAAATATAGAATAAAGAAATCCATCTGTAAATCTGAATAACTTTGTGAATTCTGAAACATTTATAATGTCATGCAGGTGCGTATAAATATCGTGCCATGCATAGGTATGAGTGTACAAATATCATCAAGCCACTGAGGGAATTCCATCATATTGTCTCGGCCACTGTAGGCAACATCATCAACATATACCAACTGATCAGGTGGTGATGCGTACATAACACCGTAACCTTTTTTCCATATTCCGTATACATAAATATATACATATAAATATGCGTATATAACACTGTCTAGTCACGGGTCAATGTACATGCATGCATGAAAATATGTTAAAATATCTCAATATTCTTTTCGAATAAACTTTATCAACTGCATATTATTTTGAGACCCATGAATAGAAGATATAACAATATGTCACATGGGGAATCAAGAATAAAGAGACCTCAGGTATTTCTATGAATAGAGTCGTTTATAAAAACTGTGCGTTTGCTCATTTCTTCTGTATAACTTGGACCATGCCAAAAGGAAAGAAGGGATGACCTTAACATACCTGGAGTAGGGAAAACTCCGTATAATATTCCATTGGAAACCTTCGTGGATTGAACTAAGAACCCCAAAAATCGGATTGAATTTTATTTCGGTTCTTGAAGTCTTGAACGGATTAAGCTTCTGCTTTTTTAAATTTTTGAACAAAATTAGCTTATGCTTTTTGAAATTTTGAACGAAATTAGCTTCTGCTTCTTTGAAGGTTTTTGGAACAAATTAAGTTTCTTATCCTTGAAGACATTGGACTAGGAAAAATGGGGTAGTATGTCTCTTGGTTTGGATTTTCACGTTTTTGGTTCTATTTTTGTCCAAAATGAATGGAACAAGACCATTGTTCTTATTCAATTCCAATAAAACCTAGATAGCCACCTAGGACTACATGACTACTTAGTCATTTCTAGATTTGTGGCTTCTTGCCACGTTTTAGGTATATAATTTATTAATTTTTATCCACTTATTAGTTAACTAGGTAATGTCCCGTTACCCGGTAGTTAACCAATTACCCGTAAATTAAAAATATCTCAAATTACCTAAAAATTCTACTCATTTTTAATATACTTTAGACATCATATTATCACGGCCATATGGTACCTTGTATAGTACTAGTCCATAATTATCGAGTATTATTGCTCGACCCGTATTTTATCCCAAATTGGCCACTTTCAACGAAACTTGATTTCTTTAATTCGTGTACCCTTTATCCTTCATGACACTTATTTCTAGCTTGTTATAATTAGCATAAATACATTAACCTCAAGATAATCTCACCCCCAGTCTGCATCAATTAACTGAAGATGAAACTTTTAGCGTACGAAAGCGCGAGATGTAACATCCTTCTCCCCTTAGAAACATTCGTCCTCGAATATTTAACTCTCCGGTATCTGTATAACCTTGGCAGAGTCGCCTTTGTAACAATACTACTACCAACTCTCCATGTAGAAGTTTAATAATCCAATGCCATACAGGACCACAATTATTAATAATGACGATGGCCTCACACGACCAATAACAATAGCTAACACAAGAATTCGTATACGTACCTTGAGGTTATGACATCTCAGTCGGACCCTTCTCCGGAGGAGGAAATAAGTAGGGATATCTAAACTTCATGTCTTCCTCGGCCTCTTAAGTCATTTCTTCCACATTTTTGTTCCTCCAAAGTACTTTCACGGAGGCTACCTCCTTATTCCATAGCTTGCGAATTTGTCGTTCTAGGATGGCAACCGAAATTTTCTCGTATGACAAGTCCTTTGTAATCTGTACATCATCCGTGGGCACCAGTCGGGCAGGATCACCAATGCACTTCCGTAACATAGATACGTGAAAAATCGGATGGACAAACTCCAATTCCGAGGGTAATTCTAACTCATAA